AAAAAAAAAAAAAAAAAAAAAAAAAAAAAAAAAAACAACTAGAATCCCTCTTCCCCGTGGCAGGTCATAAAAAACAGAACCCCTTTCTCCAAAGCCAGCTATAAAGACTGAAATTATACTCTAATCTTCTCCCCACCTTTCTGTCCTGGAGCTGGCCATAAAGAAATTCCCTGACCTACCTTGTCTGATTGTAGGTCGTAAGTCCCCCATTCCAGAAAGGGTCCTGCCCTTTATCCTGGAGGAATGAATGCTACACAGAAAGGCCATGGAGAATTTGAACAGGCCTTGTTGGGTTTCCCACTCAGTCTATTAGCATTAGATCATACTTTTCTTGTCCAATCACAGTTCTACATGGTTGTCCCTGCTTCTTAGAACCTAAGCTTAAAAACAGTTTTCCCTATATCTTTGGGTCTTCACTCTGAAGGCTCTCCCAAGTCTCGTAAAACTATGACCAAATAATTTCTTGATGTCTTTTTTTCCCTCTTATTTATTTATTATTTTTTTTAAAAAAGATGACTGGTGAGGGGATCTTAACCCTTGACTTGGTGTTGTCAGCACCACCCTCTCCCAAGTGAGCTAACCAGCCATTCCTATAAAGGGATCCGAACCTGTGGCCTTGCTGTTATCAGCACCACACTCTTCCAAGTGAGCCATGGGCCGGCCCTCTTTTTTCCCTTATTAATCTATATCTATCATCTCGTTGGTTTTTTGTTTGTTTGTTTGTTTGTTCAGTGAAACTTCGGGTGTTTGGAGGGGAAGTCTCCCTTGTCCCCAACAGATGTAATATTTTATTGTAAAAAAATTTTAAACCTCCTCATTCAGACATAAGTAATCTCAGGACCACTGGGGTAGTCCTTGCCATTTTTAAAATCTCCCCTATCTTTTTCTTCTTTACCTATGTGCCATATAGCATTTTTGTTCAAATAGACATAGTGAAAGAAAGTGAGCCAAAACGCTGGGTACCAATCAAGCTTTATTAAAGGAAAAGAATCTTCCAGGCTGCGCTCAAAGTGGAGGACAGCACCAGGTGTTGGGGTGAGAGAGCTTATATAGGGTGCCAAGGGCTGGCTGATGCAATCAAGGAGGAGAATTATGCTAATACAGAAGCTATGTGACCAGGGTGGAGAACTGCGCCCTTGTGGAAGCAAAAGGGTTTCTGTTTCTTAGAAATCATGAGGTTTCTCGTAAAACGAAGGGGGTAGGGGTTGGGGCCATTTTGTTCTTGGCCTTGCCTAAAATGGAGCAGGTTACATTCAGAACCTATCACATATAAGTGCAGGAATTTAAAAGTCTTTAGCAGGAATTTTTTGAATCATGAATGGCAATGTTACTTCATTAAAATCAGTCATGGGTTTCAAAACTAACTTATTATTTGAACATCTGATCTGTATAGTTTAGTTGTAGTTAAGGGTCTCATCTGAGTGGAATTATAAGGCAAGTTCTCCCTGTAATCTGTGCCAATATCCTTCCATCAGCACCTCCACCGGCTCAGTTAGGCTAGGGGTACACCACTTCCCTTAATGCAATTTCTCAGGACGACTGATTATATATCCAATCACATTTCTTTTTTCTTTTTTTTTAAAAGATGACCGGTAAGGGGATCTTAACACTTGACTTGGTGTTGTCAGCACCGCGCTCAGCCAGCGAGTGAACCGGCCATCCCTATGTGGGATCCGAACCTGGGGCCTTGCTGTTATCAGCACCACACTCTCCCGAGTGAGCCACGGGCCCGCCCAATCCAATCACATTTCTACATGGTTCTCTTTCTGTTTCTTCTTGCAGTTTTAAATTGTATCACTCGGGCCGGCCCGTGCCTCACTCGGTAGAGTGCGGTGCTAATAACACCAAGGCCCCGGGTTCGGATCCCACATAGGGATGGCCGGTTCGCTCACTGGCTGAGCGTGGTGCTGACAACACCAAGTCAAGGGTTAAGATCCCCTTACCGGTCATCTTTTTAAAAAAAAAAAATAATAAATAAATAAATAAATTGTATCACTGGATCCCCCCTCTTTGGTTTTCTTCCTGTATGTACATCATCTTTAGATGGATTTCTTTCTCCTTTTACCCCTCTTTTTTACCTCTACCCCTCCTTCCAGTGTATCTATTTTTTTCTCTCCCTCTGCCACTTTTTGCTTAATCCAGTTTACATTTTCTGTCTCATTTTTCTCTCTTCTCTTTCTCCTTTCTGACTAGTTACATTGTATCAATCATCAAATATGTTTAGAAAACTCATAAGAAGAAATAGCCTCTTATGTTTACCCATATTTCTTGTGTTTCCATTACTCATTCTTCATTACCGATGCTTCAAGATTCCTTCTTTTATCATTTCTTTTGCTTTTATTATTTATTTATTTATTTTGGTGGCTGGCCACTATGGGGATCCAAACCCTTTGACTTTGGTGCCCTGACCAACTGAGCCAACAGGCCGGTATACACCTTTGAACCTGTTGATTAAAGAGAACAGGTAGGTGGGAGCAAGTACCCAGAGAAGCAACCTGGCTTCAGTGTAATGGTTCTGTTGATTCAGGTAACTCTGTTTCTACTTCCTTAAAGTATTAATCAGAACCCAAACTCCATTCATCCCTGTGCTTTCTGAGTAAGGAGTTATTTCACCCTGATTTCTAGCCCTGGAAGAAAATGTGTCCCAGCCATGGGATCATGGGATACGTGCGGGCTTTGTCTATGGCCTCGCTGAACAGAAATCATAGATCTCTTGGATGGCTGTGGGTGCAGTCTTCTGCCATCTTGAGATAATCCTTCTGTACTGCCACCACCCATGTTATAGAACTCATTTCTTAAAGAGAGCATCTCTTAGAGTCTTCCCTTCACATTCTCTACACAACCACATAGTTCATTTAGTCAAAGACAGGACCGAGACCGAGGTTCTTGCCTAGGTGGATGTTTTAGTCCACTTTGTGTTGCTATAACAGAAATACCTGAGACTGGGTAATTTATAAAGAACATGGGTTTATTTGGCTTACGATTCTGGGACAGCTGCATCTGGCGTGGGCCTCAGGCTGCTTCTACTCATGGAGGAAAAGTGGCAGGCAGCCAGCGGGTACAAGCAGATCACGTGGCGAGAGGAAGCAAGAGCTCTGACTAGTTACATTGTAGAATCAAAGCATCTTCCTTTTTAACAATATCTTGTAGTCATCGAAGAAATGCTCTATTTCCCAGTCTTTTAGAATGTGATCAAGAAGCATTTCTCTTTTTCTAAAACAGCCCACTGGAGCAGCTGGAGTCTCTTTTGGTTAAGGGCCCAGACTCAAGCCGGATTCTGCCTAAATCATCATTCTGGCTCCACCACTTACAAGTGATGGAATCTGGAGGAAGATGCCGCGTCTCCGGTGCTCTGGTTTCCTCTTCTGTAAAATGGGGAGGAATAGTACTATTAACCACATCGGGGTTTTTAGTATTAATATAAATAAAGCGCCTTAGCTATTATTTTGACCATTGCTATATTGGCAGAATTGGGAATAAGGAAGAAATAAGGATGTTGAATAAATCTTCAGGAGATTTTCTCCTTATCACTGAAATGAGAAAAACAAACGAAGTACTTTGTGAAACAAAGGTAAAACATTAACTCAGGAGCTCTTTCTTGTGAGATGCTAACCTGCCGCAGGGTGGAAAGTTGCTAGTGTTGCCTCTTGGTTGCGTGGAGACATAAGGCGGTGGGGGTGGGAGTAAAAAAGGAATGCTCAATTTAGTAATTTCTCTGCACGAAGATGGGAAGGGAAGAATTAGCTAAGAAGCCGGCTTCAGCCAAAGATCGAAGAACTATTGACTTCTGATCCATGCTCTTTGAGTAAACTAGGTGCGATTCTAGAATCAAATGTAAAGACAGAGCTTTTCCAGGAGCTTTTTTTTTGGGGGGGGGGGGGGGACCGGTAAGGGGATCGGAACCTTTGGCTTGGTGTCGCCCGCACCGCGCTCAGCCAGTGAGCGCACAGGCTATCCCTACATAGGGTCCAAACCCCAGCCTCAGCGCTCCCAGCGCAGCTGCGCTCCCAGCGCCGCACTCTCCCGAGTGAGCCACAGGGTCAGCCCTCCAGGAGCTTTCAAATGGGCCTTACAATTTGGAGACATAATTATTTCACGAACTTGCCTCCCCAGCATTTCCAAACAACTTCTAGATTTTATTTTTTAATTTTTATTATTTTTATTTTTTGGTGGCTGGCCAGTGAAGGGATCCAAACTCTTGACCTTGGTGTTTAGCTTTCAAAATTAATAAGCAAACTAATATGAATTGTTTGAAATAAAAGGAGCCTGTTACAAAAAGTGTTGATTACGTTAAAGAAGCTGGCCTGATTGGTGGAAAACTGTAGGATATGACCAATAGGAGAGTAGACTTACAATCGCTCATTTGCATGCAGACCTCAGGAAAAGTAAACGAATCAGAGATCGTGAAGCTAAGTCTTCATTTACATAACATTATGTACAACTAAGTAGGATCCCAACTAGCGGATTTCATTTTCTTCTCTTCACACAGAAACCGGAGTTAAAATGCCTGAGCCAGCCAAGTCAGCTCCTGCCCCGAAGAAGGGCTCCAAGAAGGCGGTGACCAAGGCGCAGAAGAAGGACGGCAAGAAGCGCAAGCGCAGCCGCAAGGAGAGCTACTCCGTGTACGTGTACAAGGTGCTGAAGCAGGTCCACCCCGACACCGGCATCTCGTCCAAGGCCATGGGCATCATGAACTCCTTCGTGAACGACATCTTCGAGCGCATCGCGGGGGAGGCGTCGCGGCTGGCGCATTACAACAAGCGCTCGACCATCACGTCCAGGGAGATCCAGACGGCCGTGCGCCTGCTGCTGCCCGGGGAGCTGGCCAAGCACGCCGTGTCCGAGGGCACCAAGGCCGTCACCAAGTACACCAGCGCCAAGTAAATGGATCGAGAGGTACTGCTAAACCCAAAGGCTCTTTTCAGAGCCGCTCACTGTTTTCATAATCGGAACTGCGCACTAACACGTGTTCCTGGAAATCTGGCATTCACTTAGCATTAAGGGCAACGTTAATGAAAGCGTTAGTAGTTATCAATTCTTGGATGGTAGACCCACTGCATACGGTTCTGACAGTCGTGTCCTTTATCCGGTTTCCCAGCTGTGTAAGCGAACGTGGACTGAAGCACTTAACTCTCCAAGCCTTTGAAATTTCCCTGTAGGGCCAGTCCCGTGGCTCACTCGGGAGAGTGTGGCGCTGGTAGCGCCGAGGCCGCGGGTTCGGATCCTATATAGGGATGGCCGGTGCGCTCACTGGCCGAGCGTGGTGCTGACAGCACCAAGCCAAGGGTTACGATCCCCTTACCGGTCAAATAATAATAATAATAATAATAATAACTTCCCTGTAGCTGGAATGGGCACATTAAAAAAAAAAAAAAAAAGCATAGATACTATGTGTGTCGGTGGCTGAGTTTCAGGAAGTTCTGCTGTTTATGTAAAATTGTCACCCTGTAGCGTCTAAAAGGCTAACAAATTCGAAAATCCGTTCTAAAAATCGTAACCACTTCTCTGACGCCCCGAAGCTCTGCCCGTTGTTCTTTTGTGTATAGTTCCTTTCACCTTCCCCACTCCTCCCGCCCATTGCCTAGGGCTTTTAGGGTCCTCGAGAAGCTTTTACTCTAAGGCTTTTTTGCACACTTATGTTAGGGGACAGCTGCAGCTCTCCAATAAAGAAGCAATAGTTCTTATTAACGTTTAATTTGCTTTATCTTTCTTTTCTAAACTACCTCAAAAAGGCCCTTGCCATTAGATTTTTAAGACAAAATTCTTACAAACCCCCCCCCCCCCCCCCCCCCCCCCCCCCCCCC